CCATGGCGGCACGCGACGCTGCACTGGGCAAACCTGGGATGGCTGACTCGGTAGGTATAGCCCTTCTTAGGACACCAGCAGTAACGTCTTTAGGTAAATCGACGAGCACAGGACCCGGACGCCCGCTAGTCGCAATGTCGAAGGCCTCGTTGATGCGTCGCGGTAATTCAGCAGTGTTTTTAACCATGACGTTCCACTTAGTACAAGATCTCGATATTCCCACAATGTCTGCTTCCTGGAAAGCATCGCTTCCAATCACACTCGTAGGAACCTGGCCACAGAAAACAACTAACGGCGTGCCATCAGACATGGCGTCCTGAATTGGAGTGATGACATTGGTGGCACCTGGACCGGAAGTGACTAGCACAACGCCAGGTTTTCCAGAAGCACGCGCATAACCCTCAGCCATGTGTCCGGCGCCTTGTTCATGCTTTGGTAAGATGAATTCGAAATGTTTTGAGTTGTAAATGGCATCAAACACAGGTAGAATAGCTCCGCCGGGGTAGCCAACTATTACTCATATTAGACGTCTCTTCTAATACCATGTAGGCGTATATGCAACATACATATGTGCTTAACACCCCTCCTAAGCATCATTTCATGGAAAATTTCTCCTCCAGTCATCCCAATGAACCTAGAAATACTTGGTCAGCACCGTGGGCTTTAAAGAAATAGACCAGAATGGACATAACATACGACTCGTCCATCTCAGGAGCTCGAGGGTTAACTAAGGGTTGAACATGGTTTCGGTCTTTCGTATTGGCGGTGTTGAACGCTGGGGCAGGGGCTTGTCTGACCTGACTATATAATATAGAATGTTAGTGGCGTAGTCAAAGATATAATGAGTAATCGTGGAAAATAGCTACTGGATAGAAAGCGTGTAAGTGAGAAAAGGATATCAACGTACGCGGGCGATTGAGCTGAAGTAGCCTGGCTTCTGACACCTGTAGGGGCATTTTTCTTGGTCTGGACAACGGAAGAGATGGACGACGTAGTGAGAGAACGGCGTTGTTGTCGCGAAGTCTGAGCCAAAACCTTTAAGGCTTGGCCAGCTTGCCGTGAACGAAGCATGGCGCAAAGAGGGGAGACGGCAAAAATTAAATAAAAAAGAATAAGAATAGCCAGCAGAGATTTTGAGGGTATCAACAAGCCGATATCAGTCTATGGTAAGATATCCTCAAATACTACCCGCTAGCACCTTCGTTAGGAGTAGGTAACTGATCAATGGCAAAAAATGTTACGATTATTGGAAGATTTATTAGTTTAATTCAAGAGTCATAGAACTAAATTTAATTCGATGAACCCGACAGCGGAACACAAAAAAAAAAGTTAAAACAAAGACTGTGGGGTATGCAAGGGAGGGGCCATCAAGGACCCTTGTAAGTGCCTGCTGCGCTGTACTGCTACGGTAGTTACCTGGGTACCTGGGTTAGGTACCTACACTACCGTTTTCTGCCGTACCCTGCCGGATTCTCCGCCTGTTGTAACCAACATCTTGGAACTTAACAAACCAGTACTTCGGTGGCAATTGGCGATATCGGCATTTTTCCGAAAATTTCTTCAGCTACTGATTGGTCCCCACACCTCGATTCACGGATTTTCTTTTAACGGTCTAGAACATCAGATCGATCGTCTGTTGGTTCAAGGTTATATTGCGCGATCAGTACATAGCACTAGATCTCTTCCTATTTAACTAATGTCAAATATGTATAACTTTCCGTTCAGACATGTTCGCCATCTACGAAGTATGCTACCGAACTAACGTTTAGAGAGTATGTGCGTCATTGGCTATCTACTCACATGAGAATAAATTTAGTATATCTAAGTCATTATACCTAGGTGCCTGGTTATTAGGTAGTGAAAGCCAAGTTATATTTCTACGAGAAGTAAGTTGAATATGAATTAAGAGGTAATGAGTGGTCAAAGTAGTGAGGACTTTATTGCTCTTGGTGCTTTCTAATTGGAAAAAAGCCATTATAATTTCTTACTGAATTCAATTTAAAATAGAGTTGATTCTTGTCTCCAATTTGTCCCACCAACGAATAGAGTTTACTACAACCACCGCATTGGGAGCCTTTCACTTCAATTTCAGTCCCTTGCCCCACTATCCAGTTTGTTGTTTCGTACTTCCTTAACAACATTGTAACAACTACATGTACTCATTATTTTCACCCTTATCAACAATAAAAAATAAACACATTTTTAATCCAGATCAGGCAGTACTTTATATCTACCTAGGAAAGAACTGACAGGCGCTTATCTTTCTTTCTTTTTTCTTTTTTTTCAATGTATTGTATAAAAGTGCATTAAAGCCATACGCAACTCTACGTGTCTTGGCTGTAGATGCCGCCAAAACCACCACAATGAGACTTCGAAAATCAGATCGAGGGAGGCGTTTTAACAAGGGCTTAGCTTTCGATCTTTCCGATGAAGAACAATCGGACTTAACCCGACAATCCCGTGATTTGTCCGACGACGAATTTGTTGTAGACCTCCAACCGCCGGATCACAAATATGAGCAGGACGACGATCCTCGGGATTCTTCGGTCTTCGAATCACAAGATGGCAGGCAATCTGAATCAAGGCGCAAGAAAAACAGGCGCTCCTGGGCACCAAATCCAGCCAAACCACTTAGCGAAGTACAGCCCTATCCAACAGATCCTGCACAGAAATGGACAAGGACTTACGTTGGCCCAGTCAAACGATGGACGCGGCTTGAATACCTGGTCGATTATTGGTTTGGTGATGTGGAAGACCGCAGAGAAGTCTTTAATGAATTTATGAAACTATGGTTCAACTTTCAGCTTTTACCTCCCAAGCTTCCGCAAGGATCCCACCAGTTAGAGGTAGCGCGGAACGGGTGGATGCCCAATGATTTCACCCAGCATATCGAAAACAAGTATCGTCATTGGTATGAGAGATATCTAGCTATACGAACCGCATTGCAAGAATCAACTCTTATAGATAAAGCGAAGGCGTTCCGGTGGTTTCTTCCACGAGCCGACGGTGAGATACGCGTGTTACTCGGTCATGTATCGAATCAGAAAGAATACCTTCTTAAGCAAGGAGAATGCATATCATTATCGGATTCTGGACTTCCAATCGAGTATGAAAGCAATAATGAGCTGCAGAACGGCGGTTGGCTGCTTGATGTTGGGGGCATTGTCCTTTCTATGGGATGGGCTCCAGTCAAAGACCATACAGACCAGTTCCTAGCTATGTCAGTCATCCCACATTCGGACCAGGCCTTTTATAGGGATCTAAATAATGCACCAAAACCGTCAGAGCTAAAGGAGGGCGCCATTCAGATTTGGAAATTCAAGGCCGAAAAGGACTCTGGAGGGATCAGTCGGCCAGTTCGATCCTCTCCGGAACTAATACATGCAATATGCTTCTATTGGGGGAGAGTAAAACGAATGCAGTGGTGTCCCGTCCCGCTCACCATTACGCATGGCATAGCTCTCTTGGCTGCGTTGTGCGGAGATGGAAAGTTGAGAATCATGGAGATCAAGCGTGATCCAGAGAGAGATAGCATCGGAACTTTTGGTAAGGATTTATAATACAATAGGAGAGACTTGGAGATTGCTAATGTTTCGGCAGAAGAAATGCAGGACCCAATGGTCACTATAGAGCCTCCTAAAGAACATACTCTGGAAATAAATTGCTTTTCCTGGCTGAATATGAACCGTATTGTTGTTGGCCTTTCTGACGGCTCCGTAGCAGTATGGTCGGTTTCGCCCTTCCAACAACTTCAACGCCACCCCGTTCACTCGAGCCCTATAATGGACATCGTATCCGGTTACCCCTCTAAACCCTTTCTTATTGCGACGATGCCTATGGGGGGTGTGTTCACTTTGACCGACTTGAACCGACCCACCGCAGAGAAGACGTACCATGGAAACCCGTTAGTTTCCCTTCAGCCAAACGTCCTTTCCTGGAGCGACCAGCTAAGGGGTTTCGCGTCTATATGGCCTACCTCGTTTCCAGGAACATCAACCGTTTCTTTCGTACATTCTCGGGTGTTCCCTCTTTCTCGTCATATATGCACCGTAGAGGGCCAAACGAGTTGTCTAGCGTTTGGAACGTGTCACCCATGCCTTCTCGTCGGAAGCTCAGATGGATCAGTCTGGACTCTTAACGTCATGCGCAAAGTTTTATCGCACAGGGAGAAAACACATAAGATCAAGATTTTTCAGCATGAATACGCTGCGCCTCCACTCCCTGACGCTACGAATGACGATGATGAGCAAATTCCGCTCCGTGGGGGGTGTCGTATCCTCCATGGCTTTCTACCTCAAGTCAATTTTCATCCACTAGGCACGAGGATCGCGAAGGAGAGTAGAGTCAAGCGTGCTAGAGGGGAGAAGAAAGCAGCTAATAAAAAGGCAGAGAAGCCGGCGAATGAAGAACCGTTTGAAGACCTAGCGGAATCAGATGAGGATTACTTCACTATGGTTCCAGCTCCTATTGTCGTCCACGAGCCCCAAACACGCATTACGGCGTTATGTTGGAATCCGAACGTGGAGTTTAGCTGGTGGGCCGCGGCAGCAATGGGGTCCGGGCTGGTGAGAGTCATGGATCTTGGCATTGAGAATACCCAAGGGGAGCCAGAAGAACACCATGAGGGGCTCGAATCGGTCGAGCCGAATTTTGACCGTGATGATGATGATGGTCGCAATGGAGATATCGAAATGAAGGATGGCCCGGATGGTGATGTTGAGTTAGTAGAAAAGGTATGATGAAGCGGCGTAGGATAAAGACAAATTTGTAGCAATTCACGTGGTCACCTAATCATACATAAACGTATAGACACCTAAGAAGCCACGAGTTGAGAGCACACACACTTATACATATATCCATAAACTTTACCATATACGAGTTCATAGGCGTACCCAGCAGGTCGCCTTTGATCCTATCAATTGCTCTTTCTAAGGGGTAGTTTTATAGAACGCTCGTAGGGCATAGTGCAATTTAGTCTATAGCACAAGCATGTTATCAAAGCGAACAGAACTCTTCGTACATACTTAATCCCACCCTTCATTATAAATACATAATAACTATGCTCGCCACCTGTTGATCGACTATTGAATGCTATTGATTCTAGATAGAGTACACATTACCTAGTCACTTCCGTGTACATAGTTAATTTCCCCGAGAGGGGGCAACGATGCGTCCCCACAACCACACTAGTTCCATTGTGGACTATCTCAAGCGGTTAGCTTTCCGGATCCCATAAATGGTGCCTCATGGTAAGGAACACAGTAGCTCTAATTTATTGTCGATTACCTTCTAACATTCTCCCCCCATGATACTGTGGTGATGATCGAACGCTTTAATCATGCCAGTCAAATGTGATGCAGCCGCAAGTAAAACAAGGACATGAAATATCTGATGAGAGCTACCCCATATGTCAAAGGTCCGTGGAAAACTTCGTTCAGGCCATCGAACCTATATAAGTGTCAGTATTTTTTTATAGCGGTATGTGGATATTTCAGTATCTCACTGCATACTATATTACTCTAAAGTTAGCGGTTCTTACTCGTAGAACATTGGGGTAAATTTTTACGAGATGTTGTGACCATAGACATATTCCAGCCTACAAGGAGCTCTAAGAAGGGAGGGGGTGGGAAACATTAGGGGGGCTTACAAGAAACGCTCCAAAGATGTATAGGAATCCTTGGAATAAAACCCAGTTAAGACCCATACGTTCATTGAGTATCCGATAGCCGTATATCCAAATCGCATGGCAGATGGGGACAACTCCAGATACACCCAGGCCCACAAACATGGCCGCTCGATAGGGTCTCCAACGTGGTGTCCGGAACTGTTCTACCCAAGACACCACACCACAGCCAAAACCTAGAATGAATATCTATAAGGAAAGAGAATCTCTTAGTGCCTGAACTTGTTTTCCTCTCATATGAGATGTAGGTGGACTGCTCTCAAGGTGGTCTGAACAATAAGGGTATACATACCCCATACAAATAGATCGTCATTTGTTTCGGTATGCAGAATAGACCGTAATAGAGGGCCGGAACGTAACTCCCCACGATAAGGAAAACGATGCCCGAGTAATCCAGCTTGTTCCCCCACTTTGCTACTTCCGCGGAATGATTCAAAAGGGTGTCTATTATATGTTAGGGACCTTCACAAGGGAAATATGTCTTGTTAGGGTATTGGGGGGGCATCTAGATAGGGTGATACACTATCATCCAGAAAAAGAGTTTCCCTAAATAGCACCATAGAATACCATAAGACATATGGTATTGATAACAAGGTGCTGACGACTTACTACTCATCGATTAGTAAACCCACAGGCAAATAACTTCGAAGCAAAGGCTATGGCTCATAGTTGGTCACAGAAAGGGTTGGTAAGAATCCTCGAACATACCGGAATGTAGCGCTCATACCGAGACACAGAACTGCGCCAGTAAAGAAACAGGCGAACACCAACACGTCCAAGCTGCTGGCAGATGCGTATCGAGGTGCGATGACATGATACAACCAAGCTCCCACAGAGGTAAAGAAGATGGCGCCGAGGAGATGCGTCCAGATGTTAACGAAATCGTTATGGACGTAGAAGATCGAGGTGAAGGACCGCCAGTAGCTGTTGCTGTCCGGACGATATCCCGTGACGATGTAATGGTTATCGCGCCGCCAAGACGGCAGGTCATCCCACAGCACAAGCAACGCCGAGGCGATCTTCTGCTCTACATCCCTGGCGGATTGTACGAAGCTTGCGCGGCGCTTCCGGAGGCCGGAGTCCGGATGTGTGTCGGCCATGATATGTAGGTACCTTGGGTAAGACACGGGAATCCCGGATTCGTTCCGTTTATCGTTTCAGTCCGAACGGGTCTTTAGATTACCAGGTGCTGTTATACCCCCACTAAGAGTAAACACAAAAAATATAGATAAATGATTAACCTTTTGCTTTTCTCTTTTTTTCTACGTTCTTTTCTTTGCAGGGAAACGTTGGGTTGTTTAAGTCTCGTAAGTTTTGTTGAGAAATTAGTGGCACCGGTGAAAGTCCTGGCAGCTGTTTTCACTTGGTGGGCCGAACTCTTTAATTCTTCCGTCTCTTTTACTTGGTGCTATTGGGACGACTTATACGAAGACATTATCAAGGCAAGTCTAGCGTATAATATGCAGTATTTTACTCTAGTCATATATGCGTAGGTAGCTACCTCGTATATATGGTAGGTATGTATATATCAGGTGGAATAGAAGGTATATTGAAAGTCATCGCGATAAAGTATTCCTATTAACCCTGGCTATAATGTAAAAGTCATCCATCCGTAAGCGCCCACGCTGTATGCATCCCTGTTCTCGGCGCTATAGCTTCGTCACTTCCGTGAATCGCATGATCGTAGGATTGCATGTCTTATTTCTTGCCGCTCTTCTTGATACCCTGTCCACCGGTGCTCAATGGACCTTTTCCACCAGCCATCTTGGCCATCTCTTTGCGCTCCTTCTCTTCTGTTAATTGAGGTTAGCGATGGGCTATAATATGGAATCGTCATTGAGAAACATACGCTGCCTCAGCTTCTCTTGGTGAGCCTTGTCCTCGTCGTCGTACTCTTTATTTTGCTTCTTCGCAGCCTTCAAGGGCTTGACCTTGCCGCCTAACAAAATATCGCTGTCAGCCAAAGTCTATTCAGCGTATGTGGATTCCAAATTACCTTCTCTGTTCTGGCCACCCATTCTGGACGAGTTTTTTCGTGCTAGTACTTTTGATAGAGGTGGTTTTTACAAGAGAGGTCAGATGGGTTGTCTTTATCTGTTACGAGTGGCGGAAGAAAAAGGCTGTCGCGAAGGAAAGAGAAAAGAAACCAAAGTCTGGAATAGCCGAAGAGATGTGCTGACCGCGGGGCACTAACAAAGAAAGGGTCCAATGGCGCTAATCCTAGTTTACATTAGCCTTAGGTAGATCCACAAGGTGCGAAGTATCAGGTACCGTCCCACAGACGTGAATCACAACGTGAGTTTACATTAGGTACATTATACATAGGTACACTAGGCCAAGTTTGGGTTCGATCTGCACAGCCCCAACCTAAACATCCATTTGATAAACAACTCGGACTCGGTAATACGTAATTCCTTTTATTGAGGCGTTAGGCGCAGCACCTGGTAGATCTAACATAGCTTGTTTTATCACTTCGTCACCACATGCAGTCCAGACTTGAAGCGATTCAAAATTACCGGATCAGGAACATCCACTTCCATACCCCTTCAACGGAAAGTACCTTACCCGTAATAGCTCTTTGCTTTGACTACACGGCATCCTGCATACCTTGCCGGACGTTATATATTACCTTCCCGTATTCGATATTTTGATCTACGATGCGACGGAATTGAAGAGACGCTTTGACGGTTCGGCTCAGTTCTATGCACCTCGAATACCGAAATTTTTGTGGCTAACAAGTATTCACCTTATATTAAGATCGGGAAGATCCCCGCGCTTCCTAGGCATCTAGGCATCGTTTCTTGATACAGTGAGCAAAAAATGGCAACTCCTCCCAGTTCTGACGAGGGGGAGATTGTAGAGAATGGCGTTGGAGATTTGAAGGCAACTTCACTGCCTCAGTTTGAAGGAACCGGTGTTGACCGTATCGACAGAACTCGAGCTAGATATTCAAAATCAATATCACCCGATAATGTGAACGGCTCGAGATATGCCCCCGGCTCTTCTCGACGAAGTCGCTCTCCTCGCGGACGTAAGCGTCCCCGCGATGATCGTGATTCGCATCGTGGTAGCCGCCTAGATTCGGATCCGCGACGATTTCGCGTACACTACGAGGAAAATACCGACGGTTACCGCCGGTCGCGCTTGTCGTACGATGACGAGGACCGCCCCCCTTCACGTTCATCGGCGCCCAACCTCTACTATGACGATAGGGATCGAGACTATGCTACTCGTACTAAAGGGAGAGATCGAAGCCGAGACCGTGAACGCCACCCTAGGAAGCGAAATAGAAACCGCTCTCGTTCTCCGTATAGACCACCGAACGATAGAAATCGAGAAGGCAAGTTGCGGTATGATGACAGCAGGCATCAACGCGCACCAGATCAAGACAGCGTAGGAAGTGTCAGGTCGAGCCATCAAGGCACCCCTCGGCATTCACAAGATCATGCAAAGTATTATGAGCGACAGGATTCGATAGAAACACAAGGTACTAGCAAAAATGACACTAAACGTGCACCAGGTAGTTCGGAAAAAACTACTCTTACAGCTCCTCCAACTCAGCCCAACGAACCGGATAAGGACTACGAAGAGAAGCCTGAAGATATAGAGGCGGAATTAGAACGCCGACGCCGACGTCGTGAAGAGCTTCTCGCCAAATCACGCGGTGCTACACCAATGCTGGTCCAAGCTCTCCAAGCTTCCGAAAAGACGAGTGCATCCTCACCAGGGCGGACACGAGCAAGCACACCTATGGCCATTGATGGAAACACGCCCGGTTCTTGTAAGGATCTCCTGGCTCTATAAGAATGTCGAGTAATATCTAACCCCTTTCGCAGTTACCTCATCGCCGAACTCGCCAGCTCGTGTTCTTCAAGAAGGAATGTCACCTGCTGCAATCGAGATTTCTAATGATCAAGAGCTCATCAACATCCATGGTAAATTCAAAGGTACTGATGACGATGGGCCTTCCGCTGCAGATTATGATCCAACTGTAGATATGAGAGAGGATGAATTACGAGATGAGCTTCGGCATGGTCACATTGGTCCCCACGGAGAGACGCTTCCCCCCGAAGAAAAGGCCGAAATTGCCATAATAGAAGAGCCGCAAGTAGCAGAGAAGCCGAAGACCGACGAAGACGAAGACTTCGATATGTTCGCCGAAGAGTTCGATGAAGAGAAGTTTGCTGCCCCCAAACCCGCTCATCTAGACACCGCCGTAGACAACCACAAAGCCCCACTTGCTGTTATTCAGCCCAATGCCGGTGGCATTCTCGAGGGAGACGATAAAGATGGATACTACAAAATCCGAATCGGTGAGATCATGGACGGTCGATACCAAGTCCAAACAACTCTAGGTAAAGGCATGTTTTCCGGTGTCGCTCGAGCAGTCGACATTACAAGTAAGAAGCCGGTTGCCATTAAGATGATGCGGAACAACGATGCTCTCAGAAAGGGTGGCTTTACCGAGATTGCGATTTTGCAAAAATTAAACGACGCTGACCCTGAAAATCGTAAGCACATCGTCAAATTCGAACGGTATTTTGAACATAAGGGTCACCTTTGTCTTGCATTTGAGAACCTCAGCCTAAACTTAAGAGAGGTCTTAAGGAAGTTTGGTAATAATATCGGCATTAATCTGGGCGCGACGCGCGCCTATGCACATCAGATATTCGTTGCTTTGGCTCATCTTCGCAAATGCAGTATCATCCATGCTGACTTGAAGCCGGACAATATCTTGGTAAGCAAGCACATCGTGCAGAGCGGATTAAGCCATCACTAATCCTGTGCAGGTAAACGAAACTCGCAATGTCCTCAAGATCTGTGACTTGGGCACAGCTATTGATAGATCAGACGCCGCAACCGCGAACAACGAAATCACACCATACCTAGTCAGTCGGTTTTATCGAGCTCCGGAGATCATTCTCGGGATGCCGTATGATTATGCCGTCGACATGTGGTCCATAGGGTGCACCTTGTATGAGCTTTACACCGGCAAAATCCTATTTACAGGTGACAGCAACAACCAGATGCTCAAGGCCATCATGGAAATCCGCGGCAAGTTTAGCACCAAGTTGTATAAGCGTGGCCAATTATCTCATATGCATTTTGACGACTTCGGGAATTTCATTAGCCTCGAGACAGATAAAGCGCTTGGAAAGGTACGTTCACATTTCTTACTTCATTAACACCTCCGTTACATATTGCTGGAGAATCTTTAGTATGGTTCCCTTCAAGTTTCTATTTATATACAGCGTTTAAGTAGCCGCTTTTCCGGAAACCCAGGTTGCTGTAAGCTCCGGGGTGCGGCTGCAAGCTGCAGGCAAGTCACAATTAAAGCGAATGACTGCATTCGGAGAAATGCAAGCCAGCCGCACGGATATCCTTGTTCAAGTTAGTCGTCCTCTTGCCGTTGGGATTACTCCACTGTGTGTCAAGTGGGCAGTCAGTATGGAATCCTACAGTCATATTTCATTACTTCCGTGTCAGGTTGGGGTGCATTTAATGCGCCTATGATACTAGTACTGCCAGGTCTTGCGGCGTTGAGCTAACGATCTCGACCAACCTCCAACCCTTCCCTTTGTCCTAATTATATTCGACCCCGCGTCTCTTTCGTCTAGCTTTTGAAATAGTACATTTAGAGACCTAGAAGCTGACTGATATTCAGACCACCATACGGACCCTGGCCGTTGTCAAGCCGACCCGTGATTTGCGTACTCGCCTCCTGGCTGCCTCTGGTGGCATGAATGATGTAGAGTCTAGGGATCTCAACTACTTCATAGACCTACTAGAAAAATGTCTAACGCTCAACCCGGACAAAAGGATTACTCCGTCCGATGCACTTAAGCATCCTTTCTTTGCGGCTAAGATTGTTGGACCCTCAAGATAGTGCCCTAGGGGTTTACCGCGAGGATCTCGTTGACGTGGTGCGCGTTAACTTTATAGGTTGTCTATAACTCCCGGTCTCTGTCGCCGACTCCCGCGTATCATAAGGATCCCTGAATCATCCTAGGGTATTTTGGACTATTCCGGTACCGTTGAGTATGATAATGCGATTTCGTTCCAAGAGGCTTCTCGTTGGCAGTATCACGCCGGCCACGTTCCTTCAAGCGGACACACGTCGCTAGCATTACCCTGTTCTAGTTACCTGGCCTTAGCGATTCGGGATTTTAGTCTAGATGGAAACTTGACTACTATAATTACCATGAGGCTAGGCGATTCAAGCAAGGGGGGGAGAACATAAGTTCATAACTAGAATTTAGGACAAATGAATAACCATTCAATTGTTGGATCTTTACTTCTGCATTTAGTGCTGGCTAATAATGTGAACCTTGATGCATTTTTCTTTTCAGAATTGCAAAAGCCAACGCTCCATCGGCGCCTGGTGACATAGGGAAGCACGTTGGTGCTGGTCCTTAGCCTATTCATGCCATGTCAAAAAATCATATGTATTTCAGCAAATGCTTTGCATGAAAGAGGATTATATGTTATGTACATAATCATTTCAATGATATGTCAGCGTCAGTCATCTCAAGCAGGAGCCTGTTCACCCTGCCTCAGTTATTTACCACAGTAGAATCACTTGCCCTATCTCATCCACGTTAAGGATAAATCCCCCGAGTCATACTCAAACGAAAAGCAGTGTCTTACCAGAGATTTGATTCGATAGTAATACAGAATAATAATGTTCTCGAACCCACGCCCCTATGTCTGAGTTGTATGGCTAGTGTAATTCATTTCCCGTAGACGGGTGATGGTGTTACGTCTTCATTACACTTATTGTCAAGACAGGAAAGAATTGGTGTTGTCATTGATGTTTCTGTGATGCTAGAGAAGCCACGAAGGCTCACTTGAGCACATAAGCGATAAAATTTACTACTATCATCTCATTCTCAGGTATAACTATCTCCTAGAAGTCCAGCTGAAGTTATGTTGTAACGGCGAACACAGCCTTGACGCCCGTAACCGGCTATCATCCCTCCTGTCCTACCAATTTACAGATCCCGACCCCAAACAGGATCATTAAGCTCTTCACAGACTAACACCGATAAATCCCGGTTGGTACAGTGGCCATGAGAGGAGCCTTTGATATCACCCAACGTTGGTATATGGTCTACCAGGGAACAATCAATTGCCAAGAATGCAGTGCAGCATTTTACAGACCCGGCGGTCCGTTTTCCAGATCTAGCACCTCCTCCGGGCAAACTTCACTGGCGCTACGAGGTGTGAGGAGTGAGAATGATCCATATTGGACCCTACACACATGGTTTCGAAAACGGGGCGGGAACATAAGGGAATTTAGGCATCCAATTATACTTAGAACTCCCACAGGTACACTTCCTTTTCTCGTTGGCATTGCGAGCTCTTGAGAGGTCACTCGTTTTTACCATCCTTCCTTGACTGTATAAAGGACACGCCCCGACCACCCACGTCGCATCATTTATCCAGTTAACGTGTTTTCGTCGCTTAGACGTAAAGATGCGCATTGAAGAGCTCCATGTATGTGATACGACCCCAGGAAGGATCCGGGGGCGACTTCATGATCAATTGAAAGGTACTTTGATATTCCCGTGGCTGAACCTCTCACCTACATACAGACAAGTAGTATCACTGGACCTAGTTATGATGTATTAGCGACGAGCTCTATGGCTTTCTCCTCGCGTTTTTTTACATTCTCTACCTCACTGGCAGTAAATTATGAAATAATAAAAGTAAAATAGCATCAGTATAGCCACGTTGCCTTCGTCCTATCTAGTCAGCTTCGTTGTTGGGCTAGTTGTAATACAACGTGCTCTTGCTATAGGACTTATGCTATAGGACGGCGAGGCTAACAACAAGCTCGGGATATGAAGCAATTGACGAGATCTATCTAGAGGCACAGCTATCTACAGCCCGGCCCCAGCAGAGCGCACACGCGTACGAGCTACCACGACGCATCTAAACAGTGGTCTAGACTTTGAGATACACAGGAGTTCTTAGACATGCAGATATGGAAGACCTAGTTTAACTGAATAAACACAATGCATATACCCGCCGAAGCGCGTCAGTTCGCTGTCGTGGCCCGGGGCGGGGTGACGACGCACGAACGAGCTGGTATCGATGGGGTGGTGGTGTTGAGGCTGTGCTTGGGTGTTTTTATCGCTACGATGTATCACTAGACGTAAACTACGATGGCTCGCATTCAATCAGCATCGTACACCAATGCTGTGTTGGGCCATGGTGTCACGTCTCATCAGATCGAGTTACAGCTTTTTTTTCTTTCTTCTGTTCTATTTTCACAGCTGGATATTTACATCGACGTCGTCATCGCATTGACCAATGAGATGATGTGATCGGGACGAAGGGTACTCTAAATATAACCCCCAGATTCATGCGTAAACTGTAGGTCAGATAGGAGGCCGCCGCCACGAGGCTTAGCCTTGATTATACAACCAACTAGGAGGCCGCCGTTAGCGTCTAAGTGTAAACTGTATCGTAACTAAGAAGAGTTGTTGTCAACGCATGTAAACAACCCGGCCTCGGATCACAAACGAAAACGCCACAAATTCACTCAAATAGGGGCCCAAGAGGTGTTAGGATCGTTGCCGCTTCAGTGCTGTGCCGTGTTTCCTCGCGGCGAGCACGGGATGCATGTGCGCGGCTTTGTCTCAACCCGGCGGCAAGTTACTCATGCGCTCATGTAATATGTCCATAGTAGTAATATTATTGATGGCGATGATATGCGTGAGCTTGAGGTAGGATCGCTGTGCTATGTCTAACTGAAGCCGTTGGAGAGCTAGACATGTTGCAATGCTTGACTCATCGAATAGGCAATGCTAGCCATTCGGGATAATGGCCGGCAGCTACCCGAAACCCTCACCTACAACGATGGGGTCCATGCCGGCGCCCGGCCTAGGCGACATGTCAGATCTGGCGGCCGCCGGGTTGTAGTCGTGCGGCCATTGTGCTCCGGTATCCAACGGGTTCACAAGTTGCGGAGGGGGCAAGGGATCTATCCGTACATAGACCGTAACGCAAGGGACGGCTTCTCCACCCTGTATGATGTGCGTGGACGTGTAGGTCGGACTGGTACACAAACACCTCATCAGCTCAGGGGCAAAGACGATGAATGGATTACCTACCCGTGATGTAAAAGGCTGGATCACGTAGAAAGATCCCGAGCCACTGATGAAATTGATGAGGTGTAAAGGACGACCCTGAGACAAGCAGGCTTGAATTCAATAATGGCGGATCTAAACCACCGCCTTGGGAACACCAATAAGGAAGCTCATCATCAACATGAAATGTAGGTATTAGGGAGCCGGCTGGCGGGGCTTACAGATCGGCACCAATTACGCAACAGGCGCGGTCTAGTAGGTTGATCTTGAGTCCCTAATGACGGCAACGACGAAACTTCCTTAGCGAAGCCCATTTTTGATTACCAGTTGGTCCAATTGAGTGTTAATTCTCGGCCGCCCGACTTACGAACTCTCTAAGCCTCCTCCCAGACTACCTCCCGGATGATACGAAGACAATCTAGTTCTGTCGCTATCTGTTGCTGTTGTAGTTTACTATATCCAACAATTAGATTAAAAGCTGGCGATCCTGACGTATCTTTGATGCCCGTGTTTGTTTCGTGTGCCTCGTCTCGGCTGTAACAAGTGTTTAGGGCGGCGTAGGACACTCGTGATGAGAACTAGCCATGCCCCTGTAGGGAAGTTTCCAAACAAAGAAATATATATGTCACTAGTTATTCGTATTTACTAACTACGATACATTGCTAAAAACTAGCGAATACTTCTTTTCGTTCGGGCACGAGTTTATCTACGTAGGTGACGATCTTTCTATGCGTCCTTTTGTTCTTGTGCTGCTTATCGGTAGGCTAAGGGCCGGGTTTAACCAAGTTGACATCATACATAGCGACTATCATGGGAATAGACGAGGCACGGTGTGTGAGGTGATAGTGGGAGCGACTTGTGCTATCTCATGATGGTCACCCTTACTTAGTAACACGCCATTTGTGACGAGGATATTAAACCTTTGTGACATTTACAATTATATTGCTTTCTATTAGCCGCCGAGAGGTTGTAGGGTCATTGGGTATGCTCGAACGACGATCTGGCTCGATCTTGAGCATCCTGTGCTAAACCGGACCGGGAAACTAGAAGATGCAGAAGAATTCGATGATCAACATTCGACTGTCACTATTGGGTATACCTACCTACATACCTACATACATAGTAAGCGCAAGGCAGGTAAAATAGTCCGTAGCGTCGATAGCGTCGATAGCATCGGCGGAACTCTTCCGGGAATGGGAGGGGCAAACTACAGCGGCGACGATCTCAGCGTCAAAAAGACGGGGGTTCAAGTCCTCCATAACGGTTTCTTACTGGGGACCCCGCGATCCAACGACCGAGCCAAGACGCATCTTCCTTCATTGTAGCATATCTCGGGATAAGTTACTGCTTCTTAGAAGCCATGGCTGCTGGTCCTATACAAGAAGGGGCAATATGGTCCTTGGTCTTTGGTCCTTGCTCCCTTGCCAAACACGTGCAGGGTACGGCGCTGGGTAATAACAGGAAATTATCAAGATTCAAATCTCGCTCAAGGCGGGCGATTCCCTCTTAGGGCGTAGTACTTGTCTGGTGTGCCCACTTGATTAAGATCTTCCATCGCCGGCGATCTTTCAGGAGGAAGGGTTTACCGAATCACGAGGCGCACGGCAAGGGCCAAATTGTCAAAGGCTGGACCATCTGGACCGTTTGGACCGTCTATATAGCATTACGCCCGTACCAACGTCATGCGTGGTTCAAGGATACTGTCTTGTCATACGACGGAAAATATCCTAATTCGTGTCCCGACACCTTGTTCGAAACTCATAGTTGTGCTTCACCTTCGCTGAGAGACTCGCGTTAGAGTTCTAGAGGTTAAGAAGTTGTATTCCGTATTACATGGTATGATGCACACTATTAAAGCATTATTAGGGCGTCCAGACCCCTGCCGATTCTTCGGCTGGAAGCCCCATCGTGAAGATTGACTATTACGACGACGCAATTGTTTGAGGCCAAGAACCCTTGGAAGCTTAGCTCGCGAGGCTACAAGGTCTGAGCGGGTTATGGGAGCAAGGGATTACTGAACCGAACGACTTTGACGCGATGACATCCCAAGCCCATGTCTCGGGATCGCACTAAGGTCTATTACTCACAGACCACGCGAGCACAGAGCACAGATGATGATGATGGATGTTTGAGCGCTCGTGGGAGACAGGGTTCAAAACATCCTGTTCGAATATTAAGATCGTATCCGTATAATATTATCACAAGCATTGTGGCCGTGATATAATTTATTATACTATGTATGTAGTAAGCCTAGTAAATCCGACTGAAGTGATGATGGTTGCCGACACCAAAGGATTGGGACGTCAATCTGATACGCTACGGCGCAGGCAAGGCATTAATCCCATACGCAGTAGACAAGCCATGTTTAATCAATAAGTTCATGCAGAATTGTGGTAACGTTTGACATTTGTTGCGGTGTGTATAGGCTAAATTAGGAAAGTGGCATAACGTCGCTCAGATTGGTTGCTGTTGTTGAAGTGTTGAAGGAGAGGAAAGAGATCGGCCACACGATGAACAGCGAGAGAAGAGTGTGTGTTAGTGTGTGTGGCTCACGGCGGTGAGTTTCGAAGGGAATGGTAATCATCTTTTTCGTTCCGCATTCTTACCACACCTTGTCCAATCTGCCGACTGCTGTTTAGGACTTGTAGATTGGCGAGGAGGCAGAGATAGCCTCTCTTCTGAAAGCGACCAAAATAATACCATATATTATTGCGCTTATGTAGTTGTATTGGGTGTATTGGGTGTACATATTAGGGGCTGAGTGTAAATATTGTATGACAAAATTGTATGACTGGAAAATGTCGAGTGGCTACTGACAGCAAATCAAGAGCGAATCAAGAGCGAGTCAAGAGCCATAAGCATCCAAGTGTTTTTTTTTTTTTTTTTTTTTTTTTTTTTTGGATTCGTGGTCATCTGAGATGAATAATATTTATAGAACAAGACAATGGTGTCTGAAGGTCAGGTCTCCAATGACTCTTATCGTGAGAAACATTTACTACGTATATGAGAGGAGTGTGGTGGCGGTACGGAATGATAGGTACCTAGACTTAGGTACATGGAATTGATAGAAGGTTTAAGAGATACCGCGGTTCAAGAATAATTCCGATCTTCCGATCTTAGTCGATTGCTTTTTAGGTTGATACCTAACATGGGCACATTAAGTTAGGTACGTACCTTTAAACCCCAGGCGTTTAAACCAATCCATTTCATTTTAATCCTGGCATTTTTACATTTTACATTTTACATTTTGCATTTTCCCATCTTCTACCTTTTATCACCAAGGTTGATATGCTTATCACTCAGTACAGTTAAAATAGATACTAATGTTGATTGCGTACATACTATGCTAGCATATATTGACATCCCATTTCTTGCAGGCTGTTGGCTTATTTCAGATCTGAGCACATAAGCAGTCAGGACTGTATCTTGTTCGTGGATTGGCCCAGATGCCCTGGACCGACAGCCTCACTTCTCGGCAAGACATCAGAAGGCGCCAGCCAATCTCGTCAAATCAATCCTTCATCCCTTTGCCGTATTACGAGGCTACTGCATGCGGTCGCCCACGCCCGCACCAAAGAGATTATTTAATACCACCCACACTGTTCGGAGATAATCCCTCACTTCAAGGCCACAACCTGTAGCCTCGAAAAACCTGGGGCTCCATCAGATTCATTACCGTCCACACCCACCTGTTGCTCTTGGCCAATCATCGCTACCAACGGCTAAGGGAGGTCTCGTCTGTAGACCTTCGGGATGCAACGAGAAGTCTGAGCGCCATTGGACACTTTCTTGCATTTGCTGCAATGCCACCACTGCCATTCTACGAATCCGGTATCGTTACCGCCACTAGTAAATTTTCTGCAGCTCCCTAAAATTCAGTCGGTTAGTTAGTCAATAATTCAGAAAGCGCCCGGAGGGCGAAATGGCAAGGCGCCAATTTCCTCTATTGAGTAGCCAGTAGCACCAGTAATACAGTACCGCCAACGGCCGAAGCCCTTCCATGAAAAAGAGAATCTAAAATGAAGTAAAAATAAAAATATACTCGGCACATACTCATACAATATCGAGCGCGCGGGTACAAGCGGCCCCAGCGAACATCCCTAATGCATCGCCTTTGCCGCTTGACTAGCAAAATGGCTTAGACATCAGCTCATTTCCTGCAAACGGCATATTTGCGGCGGCAAAATCAGATCTAGACAGCCAGAGACACAGCAAACAGCTGCTATCATGCAACGAGATATACTAGGTACTCAGCATACCAAATCGCTGCGCCGTAGTATACGGGCATGCCGCGCAATTAGTCCGAAAGACAAGAAAATACCAATGGCCCTCTGCTGTAAGTAAGAACAGCAACAGCAATACCAATCTGTACATGTAGATATCCTGCGTTTTCACTCTGCGAGGAGACGAAAAGCAAAAGGAAATATTAGTCCACAAACCAGATAATTAATGCATACCGGATATAATATTACCAGTGTCAGTCTATGTGGGCAGATTTATCGGATTGTTCTCTCACAGATCAACATACATACATAGTCCAAGGTGCGACATAAACAGAGACACCGATCTTGCACAATGACAAGCCATTGGCCAATGTAGCATTAATCATATGGGATACGAAGCAGTATTTGCAACAGAAGGATTACTGGGCAAATTCCTATTCAAAATGTTGGTCTCAGATACTCTGCCACAGCCGGGTGACCCTTATGCATTCCCCTCAAGAGTCTTAGCAGCGACACAGCTGTACGAACGAGCAAAGCATACGGGATCTCCATTCTCTGAGAATGTTTCCGAGTCACAACGCTGGCCTTGGCTTGGACAGCCGTCTACTATGTATTAGGTACTACAAATATGCACGAGGCGGGAAAAGAGGGAAAGAAAGTTTGCCTTAAACAGTTTTTAACAAGCAGAGATCCATTTATCAGCAGGTTTGCTCGAGGCGAGCTTCATTTGAAAAGGAAGGGGGAAAAAAATAAAAGATGCAATCTTATTAGCCATCTCCATAGTCTCTTCAAAGTTTGGCGAGAAGAAGTCTTTCTTGTTAGCCAAATCAAGGATCTTGCCAACCGCCCGGCGTCCCAATGGCAAAAAGAGCAAAAAAAGTCATGCGAGTCACGGGTCGCCGATTTATGACGATTTGCCCGGCCAGTGAGAGAGCGGGTGTGTGAACTAACGAGATGAAAAAGAGGTGGAGAGTCAGCAGCCTGTCACTGTACCAGTCTTTCCAGTCTTTCCAGTCTCTATCAACAAGATCACACGCACGCCCCCTTCTCTTCGGCTCGGTCTCTAACTAGCTCGACTGGGATCTTGGGCGTGGTATTAGACATTGGAATATGGCTCTATTAGGGTAGCAGTGGCCCACCTTGGGCCGTTGAGTGGACCATTTATTTTCGTGTGTCAGACCATCCTTGTCTTCGTATATTACGACGAGCCACGAAGATCTTGGTCCTTGTTCGGGCTGGGTTATCCATCCCTCCTAGTGGAGCGCCCTAGAAGCACTGGTCCCATTCTTGACACCTCCCCTTGCTCCCTTTCTCCTGTGAGCTCCACCCTCGCCAGGCCGCCTTCACAGCTACGCTAGCGCGTCAAATTCAAGAATAGCGCATGCGTGGGAAGTGGCACCAGTAGGTCAGACATGGATGTGAGCTGGCTATTGATCACTGTGGATTGAAGAGTCAAGCAGAAGGTGGCCAAGGCTTTTCTGCTTGAGCCACTCCAAACACGCAAAAGACCCAGGCCCCTGATGCCCGCTATCTCAATATCTACATCAACCTCCCAGTCTGCACCTTGCTTCAACCTCACATCGTTCACTACTTCCGTTCATTGCAAAAGCTACTCGCCCTTCTACCTCACGACTACCTTTTCGAACTCGGATTCGTCGCCATAATATCCGTCGCCATCAACATTCCCTTATTCTACACTACTGGCCGTCGACATCCGGCCCCTACACGGCGACTTCTATACTAATTCCATGGCCCGTTAACTCGACGCCATCTACATACGACCCAGGAACATAAAAACTAGCTACAGCCCAAGGACTTTCCGTGGATTTTCTCCCAGGACATTGCCTTTTGGTTTGAGGACGTTGTTCCAGTAGAGAAGGCCGTTTTCTCTTGATTCCTTTCCTTATCTCTGTTGCCTTTTAAGATCCAGTCCCGGTTTTACCAGGAAAGGACCATAATCTGTCGCATACCATGCATAATGTGGCAGCGTACGGGTATCCCACGCCTCCGGCATCCCCCGCCTACGACAACACCAAGTGTGCTTTCCAACAACCACCACTAGCTGTGCCTCCTGTTTGCCAACCTCGATACACTCCAGTTGCCCCGGAAGATAGATTAGGAAAGTTCCTTGGAGAAAGCCTGCAGTTGATAGGAATTATTGGAACCGGTGCCTATGGCGTGGTCTACCTGGCGGTCGACGTCAAGACTGGAGTCCGATATGCAGTAAAGACGCTCAGCAAATTCAACGCAGACGGATCACCTCTGGATCGACGGCAAATTGCCTTTCAGCACCGGGAACTACGCTTACACTATATGGCCTCGGCGCATCCTAACGTTGTTTCCATGCACAAAATTGTTGACGACCCGGATTGCATATATGTTATCCTGGAGTATTGCCCGGAAGGTGACCTTTTCCTCAACATCACAGAAAGAGGACAATATGTGGGTAAGGATGCATTGGTCAAGAGCGTATTCCTGCAGATCCTGGACGCCGTTGAGCACTGCCATAACCTGGGGATCTATCACCGCGACTTAAAACCTGAGAATATCTTAGTTTCGAACCGGGGAGACACGGTAAAGTTGGCAGACTTCGGCTTGGCGACCTCATCAGACCGGTCCGAAGACTACGGATGTGGTTCGACTTTTTATATGTCACCAGGTAAAGACTCGTCGGGAACCTTTTACTTCAGGGATGTACTAACTAGTTCGTTTTCTCTTACGCAGAATGTCTGGACCCATCATCCCGAAGGCCATTTTATTACTGCGCCCCAAATGATGTCTGGAGCCTTGGTGTTATCCTAGTAAACTTGACCTGTGGTCGTAATCCGTGGAAGCAAGCCTCCTTTGAAGATTCCACGTATCGTGCCTACACCAGGAGTCAGGATTTCCTACGGACTATTTTGCCATTGTCGGATGACCTCAACAATATACTAGGACGGATATTTACCCGCAACCCAGACCACAGAATTACGTTACCAGAACTCCGGAACAGCATCCTCGCCTGTTCCAGATTTACGATTTCACCTAATGCGCCTGCTCCCCAAGCGGCGCTCCCAACACCGCCCACTTCGCCTGGGCCCATCGAATACGTTGACTGCGAAGAAGCCATTGTCGAAGACTTGAGCTACGATTCGCCACTATCACCCTCCGCTTCGGATTCCGATACGGAGTCCATATGTTCATCCGACGATGGATCTCTTACCTCGAGTGTTTCGACTATCGACGACATAGACGACGACGACGACTTCGTTATCACGGAGGATGAGATCCCTCCTACCCAGGAGCCCCAGTTGTATGATTCAGATGAATCAAAAGTTATGTTTTCACAGGAGTTTGTTCCGCAATACTCGGGCCGTATTGAGCCTTGCCAGCCTTGCGCAGTTCAAGTTCCTGTGCAGGCTAGCTGTGCACCAACCAAATTCGCCTTCCCATATTTCTGGGAAGTGGTGAATAGGTACACACAACCTGCACCCATACATTCCATTCCTTTCCATCCACAAGTTCATCTTTTTTCCAACTTCCAAGGCTGCTATTAGCTGCATTGATTATGTATAGCTGCCCTGTTGCCTTGGATGCATTTTTAACCCAAGGGTCATGTTGGCTTGTATTACCGGATACCTGGATATAGGCCATTAGGAGTATTATACCATGGATAGCCTAGCCACGGATCCGGACCACCCCCACAAGACCTAAGGATAAGCTTCGACAAAACCAGTTCAACTTGATATTACGTTTATAATACACATTTCTATTGGAGCCGTGGAAATATATCCGGAAATCCATACCCAAAAATGGAGCTGAAAAAAAAGTCGTATTGACAGACGCGGCGCATTTTGGGAGCATTTTTATGCCCTTCGAACCTGTACTTACTTCAACGTCATGTTTTTTTCTTTTGTTTATTCAGCGTGGAGTTGGTGGATGATTTGAGAGATGAGGATCAATCCATAAGACCAAGGACCAAAGGAGCCATTATCTTATTTACAATCCGGGACTGATACGGGAAAGCATCATTACACGGCGCAAAACATACAACTGGAGATGTTTGAAGCTGGGAGGCTATTACTGCACAAACTTGTTATTTTCTAATATGTCGTTATTGCACGGGCTGCATTCAAAGGGGGATGTCGATACTTTCGCTTGGATGATACCAACGTTTTTCTTTTATTATTGGATAGCACGGGCATTATGGATCTTGAATATCGAGAGCCATTGGGAAAAGTTTATCGGGACCAGTCACGGATGGATATGAAGCTGGATTTTGAATAGACCAGACGGGGGCCAATAACCCACCACATACCGCGCTTAACAACAACTGTTGGCGCAGAATTATACGTTCTACCTATGGACACCGATCAGATACGGTGATCCTCTTGGGAGCCTTTAGAGACAAAAATACGTCTATAGGCTCTCAACAAACCAATACAATGTTTTTGCGAGCAGTCGCAATAACCACCAAAATATGGCTAGCTTTTATAACTTGCGCACAAGTGACAGTGCTTCGTGATTGTTGTCCCAGGCATATTACCTATGAGAAGTCTCACTAACTATTCGCTATTACGGACCCTAGACTAACCATGTCATAGATGTCTAAGGGTCATGATATCCTAGATAACTTTACTACTTGCTACTGGGTGAAATTCATTTCTCACCTTAGGCCGCTTCGAAACCTTTCTTAGAACAAACAGCAAACCACCAAAACATCAACAACACCATTGATGATGATGATGATGACGATGACGACGATGAGAATATTGACATATACATCAGAGGAGTGATGGCTTCACGTTCGCTACGCTGATTGGGCGAAAGCTGCCGACGCCACTCGCCTTACTTTACCAGGGCAGGGCTTGCGAGTGTGCATCGACTTGCAGATTGTTCTGCCCTCATAATCACATTTCCGCCGTCGATGCAACGCAAGCCTGCAAGCCTGCAAGCCTGCATTAGTCTTTTTTGGGTTCTGCGGTCGTTCCCTAAGGTTGCGAAGCCAAGAAAAATGATCTCTCGAGTCTGCTTCTCTGTTTCTTTGTCGTTCCCCCAACCCCCCCGTCTTCCCCATTTCCTACCTATGTACGGCGCCCCGACCGCCCTTCCTTCCTCTCATTTTCCCCCTCTGGCGCTTTTTTTGGTTGGGCATTTCGCTTCCCGCCTCGTCTCGTCTCGTCTCGTCTCGTCTCGTCTCTAACCGGCCCGTCCGCTACCACCATATGGACCTAAAACTAGGTAGCCCAGCCTTACGAAATTTGCTAATTTGACGAGGCGATTAAGCTCGTCGGGCTTGTCGACTAGCCTTGGGCTTGGCGGCTACATCAGACTAATGCTTTTTTTTATTTTTTTATTTTAAGTGATTGCTATTGTCGCTAATGTTGTAAGTGGCTGACCGCGCGAGAGGCTTGCCTGGATCGGTACCTGGTCCCTCTCCCTTCTCTCTCTCTCTCTCTCTTCTCCTCTCCCTTACTAACAGCCCATTCTATCATCTCATCTGCTGGGCTGCTACGTACTATGTACGATGGGAAATGGGAAATGGGATGGGATGGGTTGTGGACTATGGTACCGGCCCCCCGTTTTTAGGCGCGAAAAGAGCCAGGCGCAGATCCTTGGTCCTTAAAAAATTGTCACGATATGGGGCAGTCCCATCATCACGCTACATTATACATACATACATACATGTCTACATTACGGTACCCAGCCAGCCAGCCCGCCCATCTCGGCTACTGCACGGTTGGTTAAATGAAAGGGAAAGAATACATTATATTAAGAAAATAACAGAAAAAAAAAACAAGAGTCCAGCCTTATTTGGCGTTGGACGCAGTGTTGCGCGTAAGTATCAAAGACGTGCAGTAGCTCGGGGCGCTGCGCGACGCTTTGTCTTTCTCTTGTCTTCCATACGTAGCTGGAGGATAAGTGAGTGGTCGAGAGAAGGAGATTCTTGTTTACCTAACCTAGGTAGGTAGGTAGGTAGGTAGGTAACGCAGAGGAAATATTGCGCCCTCTTCCGTAGCATTGCAAAGATCATGATTTCCCCGTGTTGCAGTGCATCTGCTCTTCTATACTCGACTCTGCCTAGCGCGCTCCCGGTGTGTTGGTGTGTGGGAGTGGGATGGGATGGGATGGGAAGGGAAGGGAAGGGAGTGAAGTGCTATGCAGCCCTTTTCTTCCTTTGTTTCTTATTCTTATTCTTCTTCTTCTCGCTTTCCTTGATTTCTCTCGCATTTTCCCTTCGTCTCCCTCCAAGTCTCGCCTTGAGCGAATCAGCATCGACGGGGTCCATGTCCCTAGTCCGAAATGCGTATGCAAGTCGATGGTTTGGGTATGGCGATGGGTCGGCTTCCCTTACTTCTACGTGGTGATTGGACCGATAGCCTGGGTTCACTGGCACATGGCGGTGAAAGGTCTCTGCTCCTCTCTCTGCTTTCTCTCTCTCGTGTCTTCGTGCTTTGCGCTGTGTCCCCCCCGTCTTCCGCGTCCCAGATTCGAGTCCTCGAGAACCCCTCCAAGGCTTCATCGCGACTGGGACCCACCCATTTCCGCCGTCCTCTCATCGAGGGCTGTGAGGGGTGATATTGGGAAGAGGGTTTGATGAGATGTGGGCGGAGATTGGATCGAAAGGTTCAAAAGCCTGCTTACGATCATTGTCACTGTGCCGCCTGCTTCCGAGTGGAGAGAGGCACAATCATTTCGTACAGACAATACTACATACATACACATGCTCACACATGCCAATGCTAATGCTAATGCTATTGTTATTGCTATTGTTATTGCTATTGCTATTGCTAATACTAACGGAAGACTCGATATTATGGAGTACATACAGAACGTACGCACAGAACATACATTCGCATACATTCGCATAGGTCCTCAGGTTCGCATGGCGCAGGCACCAAAGGCGCTCTGCATAGTACTTGTCATGTTTATTTGCTAGGGCATAGACATAGGCCCAGACGCAACTTATCATTCGTCAACTTCCCATCACGTACCCATACGGGGGACGTTTTCTCGACCGCTACGTGTGAATGTGCTCCGTAACGCGTGCCTGACTACCCAAGGTAAGTGTATGTATATGTATGTAGGCATAGTACGTAGAAGGCAATGGAGCCGGCGAGAACAAGACCCAGGACCCGAAAATAATGCGCAAAGCAAATCGGAGCGACGTTGCCGGTCCTGATCTCTACCCAGCTCGGTAGTCTCGCGGTTCGATGAGGGCATCGCCAACCCAAAAAGGTGGCTCGCAGCCCTCCACACCGCAACCCGCTGTCAATTTCTGGGTACCCCTAAGGTTTAAAGCTGGCTTTGGCCCGAGGCTGGAACGAGCAGCAAGAGAGCTTTACGCCCACATGTGTGGGGGAGGAGGGACATGCGCACGTAGTGACGTGGTCCCGTTCGATAAAGGGGGAATATTCATTCTACATATTCCGTACTTGGGATAGGTATGTATGTATTATTAGGGCGGTGCAAATCAAATCGCTCGATCTATGATCTCCCGGCCGTGATACCCATTGGACCGTTCATCTCCACAGGGAACAGTACATCCCGTACATCCCGTACATCCAAGGCAAATCCACAGTCTACGTATGTAGTCTTCGAGTCGTGGCACCTGATCCTGCTCAACTGCGTGTCATCTCGATGCCTCCTACGCTGGGGGAACTACGGTACGCTAAAATAAGGACTGTCATTAGGGCTGGCCATGCGTTTTGGGGCCTCGTCTTGCTAGGGGACAAATCCCTTCGAAGCGACGATTTATCGGAATGGAGACTATCGTCAAAATCGACCCTCATCAGGCGCCTGAAATCTCTTGCCATGGGCATGTCTTGGGAGAACATTCGACCTCCACATGTCCCAAAGCAGGCTCTCATTCCCCACTGACAAGTCCTGATCGGGTCAAATACGTTTTCCCAGACAAGTAGTTAAGCGGCTCAGTCGACAGCAAGGGGCCTAATAATGATTGCGTGTCTCTCGACCCAAGGTGCGGTGACTAGGTATTTACATGACACTTCAATAGCAATTCCCAATTCTGTCCGTTGTTGTATGCATGCGTCCCCCTAAGCGAAATCATGAGAGGCAATTCTACCAAGTCCTATTGGACCTCTCGTTAAGTTCCAGGCAGAACTTGTACATACATAATAGTAGTAAGCAGAGATGCCAGGGCGTTCCACCGCATCCGCCTATGGTTGTAATATTTGTCTTAGTCATTATTCGTGCGTCTGGGCGATGGCATCGTGCCCGACAGGCTACGGCGATGAATACCTAAGCGAACGACACGGCGGGAAAGAGTTGTCTTTCCCCCCTTTTCCCCCATCTTACATTCCGCTCCCCATGCCGATGCGGAGGCGGTGGAGTTGGGTAGCGGAGCCGGCGACACGGTCAAGATCGTCGTGTCTCGATATTATTAGCGTGGCAACGTATAGTGCGAGTCTTATAGCCAGGCCGGGGAGCTCTCCACGCCAATGGCCGCCTTTGTTTTTGGGAACACGAAGGCCATTGCGGCTCCGCGTGGGCTGGACATTGTTTCGGCATATTTGATCCAATCCGTATCTCATTTCGCGAGCTGTTTGACACATGGGGCCTAGATCGCCATTCTGTTTTCGTGTCAGGCAGCGTCG